GTCTCCTGAGCTAAAGCGTTTGTTCGCTTACTAGTTCTCCAGGTTCCACATACACAGCTATAGGAGAAGAGGTTGGAACCTCATATTTCAATCAAATTAATCATCTGTAAATTTTTGACAAAAACAGCTTAATTATTAAAATGTAATATATAGGGCAAAAACCAGTCTAAATTTTTTTTTCCTTTCACTGTAGATTTTTAATTTATAACTTTTCTAATTTTTACCAGTCCTGGCAGCTGTACCATCACTTGCAATCCAACTTTTTTTATGACATCTTAATTTATATTTATATTGCAGTTTGTATTTAAGATAAACTATAGTATACACCAGTTTTTAATTTTCCAATAATTTCGCATTTACTTCAAATTATCAGTAATAATGCCTCGTACGACACGTTCAGATTGTGCTGTATAGATGATGTCAGTACTCTCAACAAATGCTATTGAAAAAAATACTGCATATTTACAATCATCTCTGCAAATGAGTTTGCGTAACGCCTTATGATATAAGTTTTATGTAAGTGAATATTATAATGCAGAGAAAACATAACTTACAAATTGTCGTCGTCATGATCAGATGTTTTGTTGGAGCCCTTTATTTCTGAGGAATGAATCATAGGGCACTTCTAAAGTAATATAAAAAATATTTAAAAAAAATTAATGAAAAGATAATTGGAAATAATATGTTCCATTCAGAAAAGATTGCCTTGCTTTTAATTAAGAAAGGAATATCAAAACTTTTTATGCAATTCAAGAAGAGATATTATACCCCATTAACAATGTGTCTTGATTTTCATGCCTATCAAAGATTACTGAACAAATTTAAGAATATTTTGTATAAACTTTTACTGACGCAAGGTGTATAATAGGCTTAATAGGTTTATTTGTCATACAAGCATATTCAGTCGACAGATAGAACCAACGTATTTGGTAATTTTAATTTTTCGAGGTCAAAATCAAGAGATTTTGTTACTGCTTAACATTTTCAGATTTCATCGATGTATCAATAGATGGTAGGGGACATATTTCGAACAGATAAAAAGATCCGGTTCCAAGTTCGCTTTGTATTGTTTCTTGAATTTAATCGATTAACGTTGTTGATAAATAACGCGTAAATAACTTGATTAAAAATTATTGTTCAGCCTTAAAAATAGCCTTTTTAAAAGCTATTTTTAAGGTACAAATCTCTGACATAAAACTATGTCCTGCCGAATACGCTTGCGTGCGATAGCAAGCTAAAGATTCATGTAGCGTTCTCATTAATAGATGGCTCGCACTACTAACAAAATATGACGGCCGCGCTGAAAAATGTTTCCTGAATCAGATGTTAAGTATAAACAAGACATTAAGAATTAAAAAAAAATAATCGATTACTGATAATGATTAAATCAGATGATAAATGTAAATAAACATTAAGATTTTCCAAAAATAATCGACTACGCAAGATTTAATAAAACTGAGTGAAATTACAGTTGTTTAGTAAAAGTCTGATGCTTAATAAATACAAAAAAGGATGCTTAGTAAATTTAAGAATAAAATAAAATATTTAAAAAAGTTAATCTAAAAGCTATTTCTCTTAGTTTGGTTCGCACTAAAATGTATGAAATAAAATACTTAGATGACGTCTTGACTACAACACTCAAAATCTGCTCTTACTATCTTTGTATTTATGTTAAGTCAATAGTGCACAATATGACAAAAATCAAAAACAAATTCAAAATTGTTGATATGTTCGATGATATCGAGGTTGTTTTGTTCGAGTGGAGGACTACATGTATAATTAATTCGGTGGCTGTAAGTGTCGTCGAATTTTAGTGCGAGGAACATATATACATGCATACATATCAGATTATTCATTTGTTATTTATTTTTATAAATACTACATTAAGATAACATTGCATGGTACCAATTTGAGAAGTGATACGGACACAAAAATGATACGGGAAAAAAGTGAGTTCTGAGACAAATAACGCTTCTTGTGCTAATAATGCAGAATGTATATATATGTACTTACACTAAACCCTTGCAGTACGCGGACTTGCGGGAAGCGATTTTGCGGATACGCTTTTTTTAATTCTTTCTATTTAATTCCTCGAACGTGAATAACACTTCTTATGCTAATAATGCAGAATCTGTATGTATGTACTTAAAATAAACCCTTGCAGTACACGGACTTACGGAACGTGATTTTGTGTATACGCATATCTTAATGCTCTCCATTTAATTCGTCCAACGTGAGAATTTCATTTATACGCGGTACGTTGCAGAGCGTAGGCCACGTTGCGATAACAACATGCTGTTTATCAAATTTCAAACATACAACAAAATTTACTTTCCCATTGGGAACTACAGAAGCAAATGGGGCGACTGATCATAAGCCTACTTAAAATCAACCATTTTATTTACCGGTGTATACGCACTTTTTCTTTAAAGATTTCGTGTGTAAAACTGCTTGCATCTTATACAATGTTGACTCCAGCACCAAAGGAAACGCGAATGGTCGCCGAAACAGAGGGTGAAACATTGTCAATGATGCATACAAGGCCAGCGTGTTAACCCTTAGAATGCCAAGGTCTTCACTCACTTGTTTCTTTAAAAACTATACAGTATACTAACTATATACTAAGTGTATACTAACTATATACTAAGTGTATACTAACTATATATTAAGTGTATACTAACTATATACTAAGTGTATACTAAGACACCTTTAACAAAAGATAAAAAACACAAAATAATCCTTTTAGGACAAGACTGCCTGAAATAAAGTTGAGTTGATATAATGCACTTTGGAAAACCGCTATTGTATAGTTTAAGGGGTATATAGTGAACTCCAGCTAATGCATGGTAGTTCTGATAATGACGGCTCGTTGTATACTGAATAAGCGTTGATGATATGAACTTGGATAGAGAATCATGTAAACGAAAAATGCGTACTTGGTGAATGGTTCTGTTATTAGAAACAAAGCGTTAGATTTATTTTCTTTCATTTCAAATACAGGTTGCCAATTTTCAAAGAAAATTACCTTTCAAGCAAGCAGATATTAGGTTGAGGACTTCGTTCGTTTTTCAATGTCGTTGAAGCATCGTTTTAATTTGCGCAATGTAAAACTGCAGGGAGAAGCTAGCTCTGCAGATAAAGAAGCATCAAAAAAATTCAAACTTAAATTTTTTTAATTAATTAATGATAAGAGTAACAACTTATGAATGTGCGTGTGGACAAAGGAACTACATCACAAAGACACTAAAGTTTCCTTATATTTTAAAGCTTTTAAGAATAAATACACTTTGCTTTTTTATGAAAATGCATACACAGATTTAAATTGCAAGTCTCTGCTCATCTATCGTTCAGAAAGCTCGAGCATTGCAGGAAAAAAATTGAACAACTGCTGGCTGTGTGAAAGTGGAGTACAAAATGCTCAGAAACAGTTAATACTTCCTCTTTAATGAGTGGTTTGAAAGTTAATTCAATAAAGAAGTAAAGCATTATTTAGAACAGCGGAACCTTAAACCCTAAATTTCTTGTAATTATCGATAATACTCCAGCATAATGTGCTAAAGCCTTCATAACTTTACATCCAATTTGTAGGTGTCGTAGTCGCCTTCCACGGAAGACCACGTCTTCAATCCCGCCGATATATCAAAGAATCATAAAAACTGTCAAAGCTTATTAGGCCAGGCATGTTTGCATCTCTGCAAATAAAGCATCATGAAAGAACGCACGACTAACTAACGATATTTTGGAAGCATTTCAACATAAGACACTGCATAGAAATGCTTTAGCTTCCACTAGAACATGTTAATTCATCAACAATGAATGCTTTTTGTCATCACTGGCTTTGACCAGAAGTTGTTAACAATTTTAAAGGATTAATTGAAAATAAAGCCAATAAAATCATACCAATGACAAAAGCAACCGACTGCGAAGGATTTTCAGAATGGAAGAAGAAGAAACAATGAGTTAGTCGGGAAATACGAACGTGGAATGCTAATGGTGAATTGGGTGATTTTATAACAACTGAAGGTAAACGCAGTAATAGTGAAGAAATTATTGAGAGATCCACAGGAACTCTCTGATTCTGCGATGGAGTTTGACCCAAATGAAGAAAAAAGAAAACACTTTATATTAAAAATAATTGCATCCTGTACCTACTTATTTAGAAGCAACATAAATTATTTCAATTAATATGTGTTAAATTTTTCTTTTTAACTACGATACTAATTAGGTTTGTATAAATTATACTTATTTTCTTAATCTTTATTATCTTAATCTTTATAATTTATCAACTCGATTGTTCCATAGAAAGTTAACTTTTCAAGAATGCGATTTTATCGTCCACGCAATGTGTTAACGACATAAACCGAGCATTCGCAAAGGTTTACTGTATGTTCTTCTCATGTGAAAAAACGACGGCATCTATAGCCACCGAATTTTTCATACACATAGTTCTCCTCTCGAACATGGGCAATTCGAAGTTCGAATTTGTTCATGTTTTTCTGGAAATTTAACGAATTTTTGTTTAACAAACTCAACAAAATAAGAGTTTATTAAAATAAAATTCTGACTTCGAATTTAAAGTTGCCACAACTTTGTGCATAGCACTTTTTAATAGAGTTTTACCTCCAGCGCGCCTGACTGTTGCCATTCGGCAAAATATAAGATATTTATCGTTCAGTTTTAATCCAAATATTCGTCTAACTGAAAGCAATGTGTTGACAGTGCCTCAAATAATATACTTAATATCATTATATACAGTTTGCTGTCATTCAGTAAAACGCAAGACATTTAACTTTCAGATTTAATCTTTCTGTTACGGAGTAGCAAACCAAAGGATTGAAAAAGAAAACGCAGATCTGAAAAGTACTTTTTCTGCTCTTAAATCTGATTTATTTAAATAAAAGTACATTTAAAGGAGATGAATGTTTAGAAGTATTATGTATTTTTATGAAACTACTCTAGCATACTCTATACTTTTATATTTTTTATAATAAATCTTTCAGGTGGTTGCCGCTCGAGCAGCTAATTTTCGAAGAAGGAATACAACGAATGATATAAAGTGTATTGCTACCCCCTATCATTTTATCGAAAATTCCAAATATACTTTTTTGTTAAATAACTTGTGATTTTGCTCATGAATTTTAAGTGGCCTAAATATGAAGACAAAAGAAGCAGGATGTGTTAACAGGATTGAGTCCAAGAGCAAATTGGTTACCTGTGATAATCAGCGAGAGCATAAAAAACCTTAGCAAATCCTCTGGTGACGTTAATGTGAATCATTGTAGATTTTTTCAAGAATTTTATTACTCGATATTTTTAGTTCTTCTCATAAATTTTAATAAATTTTACTATTCCCTTTACCTTTTTCTATGTAACTTTAGATGCTTCATACTATATGTTGACTATTGAAGAATTTTTAGCATGCTTTGAGTTTGACTTAGGTTCAAAATAAGAATTTGGCATCTGTAATATTTTTGTGATGATGATCTGTGATGTTATTCGGCATAAGTGATGCTAATTCTCTACTAAATGATATAAAATTTTAATTTTTGAAAAAGTATTCCTCAAGATATAACCTGTAACAATGCAATGTATTTTATATTTAAAAATAATAATTTAACTTTTCCTTAAAATGAGGAATTATTTGGAGGAAGAGAAGTAATCTTACTTTTACAACAAAGTGAAACATTTTAAGAGAAATTTAATGAAAAATGTTAATTAATATAAAATAGTAAATTAAAATAGAAAAGGATAGAATTGTTCAGTTAATAAAGGAGTCCATCGTAAAAACCAAAATTACAGAAAAAAAAATCAAAACTACTCTATATTGGAAGTGAGTAAAAATGCGCAAATTATAGCAAAATAATAACCAAAATAAAAAAGGTGTTTAGAAAAGTTATTGAGTAAAACAAAGAGATGAAAACCAAAGTAAAATGCAAAAGCAAAATGCTAAAAACAACCAAAGAACCTTAAACAGCTAATAAGAATAAAGTGAAAACATAAACCAGAACTGTATCATTCTTAACCTGACGTTCAAGTTATTAGAATCTGTATTTGATTCTCTAGTTTGTTGTTCTCCCAACCTGTCGCCGCTTATCTTTCTTTTATCAAATGTATTGTTTGCAAAGATGTATAAAAGCACAAACATAATTGATCAAGATAAGACGCTTGTATTTGTCAAGAATAAAGGATTATTAAGATTATGAAACTGGTTATGGCTTCTGTTACCTTCATAATGCACTTCAGTTCCTTCATAAAACATTTACGTCCCCATCGAAAATATATATAAACATAGAAATTCGAATTAAATTATCATATTTTGCAAGCATTATTGCATAATATATATGAATATATATATAAATAACAACTTGGAAAACAGAAATAAATTAAAATAAATTGACACAAAAATTTTAAAAAGGTCTTATATAATTAAATAATAGTTCATAATTCTTTGGCTTTTTTCAAGGAGCAGTCGAAGGAGTTATCAGTAGAGTCATGTTCCTTAATTATATCTGGATAAACTGCGCAACAAATGAAAGATATCCTTAAATTTAAAGGATTAAATGGGAACAATTCTTTGGTCATTTTCAAGGAGCAGCCGAAAGACTTATCAATAGAGTCCTGTTCCTTAATTATATCTGGATGAACAGCTCAACAAATCAAAGAGATCCTTAAATTTAAAATGATTAAATAAGAATACATTGATATAAAATTTAAAGTTTAAAATATTTTAAGAAACTTAAAACTTTTTATTTGCCACCAACCTATTTATGTAAATAAGGGAGGTAATGTTCTCAGTTAAAAAATTCGATAGTTATTTTTCAGTGAATAAGCTGGAATAAGAGTCACAGAAGATATTTTTAACATTTTTACAATAATATGTGTGTGTGATGGTTTTTTCGTCTACGACAATTCTTGTATCAAACTTCAAACATTCATTTTTTCCATATTTGAACTTTTTGAATACATATAAAGAGTTGATTACATTTTGGGTTAAATTGGATAACCGGAAGCGGTACTTAACTTGAAGTACTTAAACATTATTAATGGACAACCGGAAATGATCTACACTTGAAGCTCGTAATAGGTTTAATGAAAAACTATATTAAGAGATTATACTTTAAATTGAAAGAGATGCTTTTTAATTTTAGTTTTCAAGACATTTAAGAAGACAATATATTAGATTTTTGTTAAACTTGATGATTCGTATGTGATACGCTACTTGAAGCTTTAAGCAAATTTTGGTGAGAACATACGTTTTGGTACAATCCAAAACTTAACGAGCATTGCTGAAATATTGGAAATAAATAAGACAATAAAGAATGTTGTTTACAGAAACCTAACCATCGCCTGGATATAAGTGTTGATCAAACTGAATTTAGATTAGTTAGTAGTAGATACATAACATAGAAAAAAAAATTATCGCATTCATCATAACGGTTACAATCTTTCAGGAGAGATAGTGTACACTTAGAAGATGGAAAATAACGTAGCAGTGCGTGGTCAGAAATGATTTCCTGGCGTGGTTGTAACGACACAAAACACAAGAATGGAAGGACACGAAAAGGGTGAGAAAACATGTTGATTATGCCATACAGTTTCCACATTCTGAGGTCCCCTTACTTTACAACCTTAATGTACGTTTTCACCCGAATGCAACGTATCGTCAACATTGGATCGGCAGGGGTGGCTCGGTGCCAGTAAGATCACCAACCCTCACTCGAATTGATTACTTTCTGTTAGGAATACGTTTACATTAAGACAATGGTGTACGAAACCCCCGTTAATAGTGCTGAGGAACTAATTGCAAGCATGGTGACAGCTTAATATTATAGGAATACGCCTGGTATTTTCCAGAACATCTGATCTTCCATGTGCCTGAGATGTGAGGCGTATATCACGATCCGATGTCGTAATTTCAAACAGCTTCTTTAATGACGATCGTTGTCTGTTTTTGTTCTTATTTCTTGATATCTGCTGTACTAATCATAATAAACATGTTTTCTCTCTGCGTTCGTATCTTTCCTTTCTTGTGTTTTGTGTTGTTACTACCGCTATCGTCTAGCTGTGCTCTGTCTCTTCTGAAAATTTGTAACTGCTGTGCCAAAACACTTGAGTGCCTAATAAAATAAAAGTTTCAGTTTAGAAAAGGAGGGAAAGCAATCATTTGATTATGTTAGTATAAGTTAAAAAAAAGAACTATTTTTTACACATGGTCAACCATATTTAATGAAACATTATCCAAAGTTCTATTTTACGGACTATTATACTTTTTAGTTTGTATGGTTTACTTTACTACGGTAAAGCAAGATAGTTATCTGTTTAAGGGGTAGGGTAGCCTTCGATGTGACTTTCTAAGGAAAACTAGTTCTCCGGAACATAGGGAAAGCAATGACAATCAGCTCGTTTAGCACGCTATAGTCAGCCCGTTTACCTGGAAACGAACACAGTTTGCACTGTGAACGTTCAGCGACTTTGCCGCTCGGCCACCGACGGGCCTATCTGCTGGAATAACAAATTAAATTTTGCAGACGATTAACCAGAAGTGATATTTCGCTTAAAGCTTCTTGCTATTTTAAACATGGAACTGGAAGAAGGTCATGTGCTGTCCAAATTCTAGGTAGAATTTAATTAAAAAAATACTGTTATTAATGTCCCGTTAAATGCTACGAAACTAATTGATTAGGAAAAAAGTCTGAAAAGTTTCAGATTTTAACTGCTGCTCAAAAATGAAAAAAGTCATAAAAAAAAGGGTTTGTTGAGGATTTTATGTTCTCGCTGAGCTCACAGTCTACCAGACTGCTGTTGCCGTTTACATGAAAATGTAAGAAAACATAGGTGTTTAATTTAGAGATACCAGCCCTTTTAATGACTTTTAATAAAAGAGATTTTCATGGCATATTTTCTAAATTTATAACAATATCAAAGGTATTTTAATTTGATTCTTGAAACACTGAATTATATTACCACTTCACAGAAATATCAACAAAATTATGCTGTTTCTGTTGCAGTTCTTCCTAATTTAAAACATCTAAAAAATCGAACGTTTTCAAGTTTCATTAATAAACAAATTTCCTGTGATTAAGTTAAATAGTTTGTATAATCGTTATTTGTAATATTTAGCCAATTTATTCCGGAATACCAGCCCGATCGCGATGGTGGTTGGCGGTGTCATTGCTATATTACTGAGCCCGGGTTCGGATCTTGGAAGAGACATGGATATATAAAATTGTCGATTATCATTTATTTCAGCTTTAATATTCTGTAGTACCGTAGTTATAACACCTTAAGCAAAGTATTTGGTGACGAGACAGTCAAATTACCAATGAGCTCAGCCATTTTCGACTAAAAGTTATCTTGTAAATGTCCGATCACTATGGATTTTAAATAATAATAATAATACAATTCTGCAAAAGTCAATATTAAAATAGTGCTTAATCTTAATATAATTACATTGAAGCGTTGATATTAATAAAATTCTTTTTCACAAAAGAAAAAATTTGCAACCATGTTACAAATAAAAACCGAAGACAACATATTTCCACTACTACTACGAAAGATATGACGAACTACGAAAGATATGACTTAATACTATGAAAACCATGAAAATACTATAAACTATGAAAGATATGAAAATATTACTGTACAATATACTCATACTTAAATACTGTACTATTCATTTTATATATTTATTTGTGATTCTTTTATATCAAACGAGATAAACAATCAAACTAACTAAACATTTTACGTTTTTTATTTGTAAGAAGCTATCTTTAAAATTGATATGTCATATCATTCAAAGTTAAAAATAATACCCTTTCCTGCAATCAATAATCTTATTTCAATTGATGCCAGCATCTAGATTCTAGAATTTTTGATAAATCGGTTTAAGAGGCGTTTGCTTTCCACGTGACAGATGAGATTCTTCTGATTTTTCTCAGCATTATCAGTTTGCACCTGTTAAGAATCATCCGTTTATATATACAGGTTTTTCTCTTCAACATCAGATACATTCAATGGACTGCATTACGGAAAGATGATAGCATTTAGATTCGTTATTTTGCTAGCAGCGGTTGTTGCTGCCACTGCAATATTAGACAAGCTTCCAAAAATCCCAAAGCCAAAAATTCCTAAAATTCCAGAACTTCCAAAACCAAAAATTCCAAAAGGTACCAAACATTTTATTTTTATTACTTTTATTTTTAAATAGCTAAGTAACTTATTTTAAATACTTATATTTTACAGTTGTTAAGTGCCTTATTTTAATATGATTCTAAAACTGCTTGATATACTTTAATATCTTACCTAACTAATCATAATTTTGTACATAGTGTTTCATGTAGAGTTTTATAAATATCCTTATAATATTTATTTAAGAAGCTAAATTTTGAAGGAAAAAATTGATATATTCCACTTTTAAAAGTTAAAATATCTTCATGTGAAATAAATGGCAATTTTTGTCAAATTCTATTTGTTTTGACATTTCTCTCAAAATAATTTGTATGTTAAAATTCACACTATCACTGCAATCTCAAATAATTTATTAATACAATTTTCATTGCCTTATGGTTTTCGAAAGACATTTTCTCAGGTTTTAAATTGTAATTTGTAGCAGTGTGGAAAATTTTTAATAGTATTTGCTTGTCGTTATGTGTCTACTAGGTGAGAGCTGAAAATAGGTTTCAGCCGATTCTTCAAATTCGTCAATATCTTCCATTTCATATTTTACAGAAGAGCTTCTCAAATATTTTGAGTTGTAATAATAATACAATAAATGAGGCTTCATCCTTGCATAAGAAATGCTATCAGTGCTGCTAACAAAGTGCTAGCATAATACAAAATTCCGTTTAATATAATATTTCCATAACTCCGAAATTTTATATCTGTAGTATTCACATTATTATTTATAATTTGCATGAATAATTATTTGGACACTAAATGTTACTTAAGAATATATTACGTTATGCACATTAATATAAGTTTCAATTAACTTAATTATCTCATATTTTCATAAGTTTTATTTATACAAAATTACTTAGTTTCCTCTAGCAAACAAGGACGCTGTAAAGCTTGTGTCAGTTTTACAGCGTTTTAGTGCTAGTTCAGTGAACTGAAGTATTTTTATCAATATGTACATATTTCTATATACAAAATGAATTTTTGTACTGTAAACTAATTTCTACATGTATTTGTTTTCATATGTTTGTGTATATCATGAGTATTTATTTATGCATAGATTTTCACAAAAGTTAACATGCTTCATCAAATAGAAGCTGATTGGTAACTATCAGCCCTGATTGGGAAATGGATAAGTAAATTCCGGACTGATTTTATTCCAAAAGCTACTTTACGGAGTTTTTTCTTCTTAGGGAGCATAAACTAGACCCAAAGTCTAAAATACAAGTATCGAGTTATCTCTAGGCCTTGTAAGTACCACACAGACAGGGAAGGGATGTAAAGTATCCTTTCATTAACTCAAATAAAGGTTAACATTCGGCACCAGTTCGTTACAGAAGCCAACTGTTTTGCCTTAAATCAAAGATAATAGATGAACTAAAACTAATGTAAATAACTTGAGCCTAATTGTTTCACACCTGAAATAATGCACAAGCTAGCTCTTACCTAAGGTCAGCATTACAAACTTAGTGGCAGAGTTCTAATCGGAATAGAATCAAATTAGCAGTGTAGCCTTCAAGCAGGCAAGACCACACTCAAATTCTATACTTTAAAACCTTTCTTTAAACAGTCTATTCTTTCTATCTAATTTCAATATCGCGCGAGATGAACATTTACATTCTGCAGGAAAATGAAAATGAGATTGATAAGAAATAATATTAACATCAAATAACTGGTTAGAATGATATCTTATAACCTCGCTGCATATTTAAATACAATCTTGTCAAAGCCTGTATCCTGTAGAAAGATTTTTTGTAATAGATTAAATAGACTACCAGAAAACGTCTATTTTTTGCTTCTCATCAATTTTGAGGATACGTTACTTTATCTAGACTTTACCAGGGACATGTTGTGTGCATGTATATCCAAAGGTTTGCGATTTACAGCCTATTACGGTGCCCAAACTATGCTCAGTATACACTTTCTAGGGATTCTGCTATCACTTCAAGAAAATAAAATGACAAAAAAGGTTGAATAAAAATAAGTAAATTCGGAACTAGAGTTTGAATAAAGATTTGCCGGTTTAAATTTAGTGTCTCCTCTAGCAGATGGCACTAGATCATTCTGCTTCCACTAGTTTCAAAGATATTGTAGCGGAAGATAGACAAATGATGAGGCTGAGAGGAGCATCTGCCTGTCACTCATATTTCGCTGCGAGCCGGGTTTAAAACGTCTTTCCTGAATGGATTGTGAATCTTCGTATGATAGACCAAAAATTAATTACGCAACATATGAGAAGCACGCAATGAAAAAAAAATGAGTGATATTTTGATAGAAGTTTTAACTTCACATTGTAACATTTAAAAACTTCAGATTTTTCTCATTCTCCTTTGGAGCGTTCTTATTTACATAAATCTATACACCCAAATTTATTATTTATCGCAGATCAGTAAATTTGAATAAATATCAATAATTACATTTAAAAAACTATTTCTACTTAAATGCACGAAATGTTCTGCAATACTAGTAATTTGTATGGCACTAACATTACTAACATTTATTTTCAGTTAAAGAAATTAAGGAAAAATTACTTGGAGAAGTTTGCTATGGAGATTTGGGTTGCTTCAGTATTAGACCACCATGGAATTTGCCAATCCTTGAAAGAGGTTTGGTAGGCCTACCAGATTCTCCAGAGAACGTTGGTACTGAGTTTCGTTTCTACTCTCCTAAGAACGTAGATGAGCCTCAATACATTTCAACCGCGAATTTCAGTTCCTGGGATGTAAAAAAAAGTGGCTTCAGTAGACTTGCAAAATCAATATTTATCATACATGGTTATAGGGATGGCAATTCACCGTGGCCTGTGGTTAGTGAACAAAATTCATTCATTTTAAAAAATTTTCTGAAATGCCTTTTTAATACAAGTACCCTCTGCATGAGACTTTCCTTTACTACATCCGTATATTATTTAGTAAAATAATCTAAATTTTTAGAAATGGTATTTTAAGTACTCTAAACTATGTCAAGTGCAAGTACACAGAAAGGAAAATAAAGTCATTAAAGTGAAGGAAGAAAAATCGCAAAATCTCGAAATAAAAATGCTGTGTGGAAATAAAATATGTTGTGAACTGCAAATTATGTAAAGTAAAATAAAACTAAAAATAATAAATCAAAATGCAAGGTAATCAAAACTACAAATTTCACCGTTGTTTTTCTCAAAGTAACGAAATGAAGATTTCAAGAGTCGGAATAAAAATAATATTATGCAACGTGTTTTTTAAAAAGTAACTGAATAGAAGCATTCCAGAAATTCAAATAAAACACTAATTTGTTTCTTCGTTGTATAATTTATTTATTCAGTAGCTTATTTGTCTTTCTAAAGACAGAATAGATAGTGGAAACGTTAAAAAACAAATGAAAATTATTTTACATTTTTTGAAATTTAGTAAGGTTAGTTTTTTTTTCAGCACCTGTTATTCTACTTACTGTTTGAAAGAAAAAGCGAGGCAGAATCAGGGAAGAAGTGTCCAAACAGATAAAGAGTAACATGTTCAGTCACATAATTAATATGTATAAAATAAGAGCAATTAAATCTTCATTGACTAAGTATGCAAAAATCAATATTGCTATCGCTGATTATAGAAGTCTAAACCTTCTTGTTGCTAGATGTAAAGGGCTTATAACTTCATTTTGATTTCCTTCTTCCTGAATTTCCTTTGTGCTTCTGAGCAGTTTCAAGTATCCATGTGCACTTCTGTTTGAGTGGGGAAATTTTGGAATCTTATACTTGCTTGCTCCCGAATTCACAATTGAAAACTTTCTCTGATTTTTTGGGACTATATCAGCTGGTATATCTGTTGATGTACCGTCAGAAACCTTATCTGATTCTTCTGATGCATTCTTCGATATCGTGCCTCGTCTTTCATAAGCTGTTTGCCGCGTGAGGTCTGCTTGTGAAATCGTACATTTCCCCCGTCGTTGCAAAACTCTCTCGGCACCTCATTCCTCGTTCAAGTGAGCTTCCAATACGCATTGCTGATCACTTGGTTGATCGCTTCATCTGCTGGAGCTTTTCACCTTTCCTTTTCATTTTCTGGGATATATCCTTTTAAATACATTTATTTTCAGGAACTAGCTTTCATTTGACTCGTCGCACTTTGATCTTTTTTTGTCTCATTCACCATACCCCGCCTCCTTCCTTTTTCTTTCTGCACCTTGCACGCCCTAAGACAATGGTAATTCTTTTCGTATATCCAGATGAATTTTCGTTTCTCGTCCTAGGTGATTCCTGCAAAACATGTTTTAGAAGATGCATATCAACGAATTCGTACAAGGGTTTTATATGATCCACATTAGCTTTAAAAGTTTCACCATATGGCTCATTCAGATAACTACAGTTTTCCTTATTAGCTCAGTCACATATGAGGAACGTGTTACTTAAACGTATTACTAAACTTTCCCATTGTACCTTCTGGGAAGCTTGAAAGAGAATGACCTGTATTCTCAGTCCCGAGGAGGGCACCACAGGAGATTGCGACATCCTTCGAACCCATGTGCCTTGCCATTTTCCTCTTTTTTTTTTATTTTTGCAGCCTTTTCTTCTTGTTGAACGATGTTTGGGTGCCCCTTTGATTATTTCCCGCAGAGGATGAAAAGGCCTTGATGGAGACAAAGGAGGCGGCCTGGTAGCGAAGCGGTTTCAAAGAGAGTCTTTTATTGTCATAATAAGATTTCTGTTTTCCCTAGCGATATCCAGATTTAAAACCGCTCCAACAATCAATTTCTGTAAGTCTGCCATCTTAAATTTTGCACATATCTTTTAAGACAAAAATAAATTTGCCTAAAGGCGTAATTAACTTTCTGCTAAGAAATAACTCAATTAGAGTTTCGCCGGAGGATCATATTTAGCCGTCGTCAAGACAAATGCAAGTTCATTGATGCAGCTATTCCAGCATTGATGATATTTTATTACATAGCCTGCAAATGATTTAAACTATGTCCATGCTTATCCGCTATGGTATATTATATAGCTGTCGACAAGGAATCATCTTGAAATTGTGTATGCTAAGTCCTGAAGAAATATCCTCGAAAATTTGATTAACAAAATGCTTACCATTATCCAAAATTAAGGTAAGTGGAACTCTATACTTTAATATAAATCTATATACAAGTGATTAGGAGCAAATACTATTTTAAAATTTTTACTACGTGGGTAGGAGCTAGTATGCAAACCCCTATGAATTCACTAGGGAAAGTATTGTATATACTATTCTATATGCTATATATATGTATCTGACCGGACTAAAATTAATATGGTAAACTAACTGACAAATGTCGCAGGATTTAACATATTGAGTTGAAAATTTTTACAGCTATGGAAAATAAACAGCCTCTCGAATTCCTTGAATTGTTTTTTTCTTACCTCAAGACGGCCTGAAATTAGCGCACCAAGAAATTTCTGCAAAATATTTAATCTTAAGCTGGCCGAAATAACCGATTTTAATTCGTATTATTATTCGTCACTTGAGTAAAATAAAAGATGGTCAGTATTCTCAAAGTTTGCAGTTCTGTCTCTAATAGCATTCCTATCTTAGTTTCCAAAATGGTCAGGATGTTTTAAGCATGCATAAATATTTTTAGACTTCGGATCTGTTTGCAGTTCCGCGATAGCTGTTTTCCGAGAATCTAAAATACTTTAAGTTAGCATTGCACATTTGACTTCACTCCAATAATTTAATTTTATTATTGACAGAGCGTCCGTTACCACATTTGTCTTTGCCAGGAGGATGCTTAATTATGAATTCGTATTCTTGCGATTTTAAGGTCCATGTTACGAGTCTTGATCAAAAATTCTTCCCGTAATGCAAACGAACCACGGCCGCATGATTTGTACAAACACTTGTGGGTGACGTCCCAAGATAAACTTGAAATTTCAGAACAGCCAAAAAAACTGCAAACGTTTTCTTCTCTATAGCTATATTGTTTTATTGAATCAACTACCACAAGTGACGACGTAATTAAAATAACAATGAAATTCAAGTGTAAAGCGTAGACCTTGTACTCAGAGATTTATTCAAATCTAAGATGTCTCAAACTCTGACCGGTGTAACAAATTTAAATATCGGCAGCAAAAGACGAATAATTTCAAAATTATCACAGCTGGCAGGAACTGTGTAACGTGGCCACGAGGTGCAGAAACACGCTGTCTTACAAACCAGAAACCTCAGCTTAAATATTCTCTAACTCAATTTGCATTCTGCTCAGGAAACGAAAAGAAGTAGTAAAGATCTGAACGAAAAGTAATAAAGATCTGAATTATAATAATTGGTTAATTTCAAATAGTCCCCCTGCAATGTTATTGAAACTGCTTTGGTTTTAGATATTTATATCAGTATCTACTATCCTTTTAGATATTTATATCCTATCTTTTAAATTATTAATTTATTTCTTAAAAAGTAAAAAATACTGTAATACGCTATGAGGCTAATAACAATAAAATAATTTATTATTATAACATTAATACATTTTACGAATTTGCTTACCCTAGGAAAATTTTTTATTGTAACTCTTAATGCAAATGCAAAATGCTGTGTGTGTGGAAGTCTCTTATCCCAAACGTTTTTCGTAATGTAATTATTATGCATTAATCGCTTAAAACTATTAATATATTTGTTCTTATTACAGAGACTCAAGAATGCTCTTATAAAAAGAGAGAAAGCCAATGTATTTGTAGTCAATTGGTCGAAAGGAGCAGGTGCACCACCATATATTTTACTTGAGTATCAAAAGGTTTCTGATAACACAAGGGTGGCAGGAGCAGAAGTTGGATATTTCATCCAAAAGTTAATTGTAAGAATATTTCTCTAGTCTCAAAGATTTCTTATGCACCTGTTAAGATTTAGATAGCGTTACTTCTCAACTGGCGCTATGCTTATACACTTTGACCAAAAACTTGCAAAAGACGAGTTAGATATCATATCTCATTTCAGATAGTGCTGCATTACCTGGCCTAAAATTATTTTCTAATATAACTCGATTTCTGTCGACTTTGATAAATTTATTTCTTAGTTTTATTGTATAGCGATTTGTCATGACTCATAAAATAACAATCACCATTTCATAATATGGGGCATCTTAAAGCAATCGTAATGTAAAAACTCTAAGCACATTTAAAATGTTAAGATGTTCTAATATGCAATAAATCAATAATTCGTATGGATAATATTTGGTTATTTGATAATATCGATTAATATACTTTTGTATTAATTTTATTAATTATTATTTTTAATAAAATAACAGGCAGCTACAAAGTTAAATCCTAAGAGAGTGCATGTTATTGGTCACAGCCTTGGAGCTCACGTAGCTGGTTATGCTGGAAAATGGTTCAAGAATAACTCCACAAAGAAAGTTGGAAGAATAACGGGTAACTCATACATATACGTATTATGCAAAATATGATAATCTGTTCTGCCACTCAAATGTATTTTGAACAAACCTTATCTGTTCTGAAATCTTTTTATAAAACTGGTTATTTCGACACGATTAGTAAGAGCTTGGTGTGTCCATATTCTGGCGCAAAACCTTAGAGGTTATACGCACACGATTAGAAAGAGAGATCATGAAATAATTTAATATGTATTAAGACGATATAAATTTGCAGTTTTCTGAAATGCTTGTATTCAAGTATTTAAAGACTGAAGATGCTTCATGTCCCATTCTTAACCATGTCACCATCTCATACGAGAGATGTCGAGTTGCATAAAATGTCAAATGATGAAAACGATACTTAGTAGCTGGAAATGTTTTTAAGAAATCTCTAAATTTTCGGCTTTCCAAAGTAAAACTTTTCTGAGAGATATTTTATTTCCCAGCACCAACATAGGTGAGTTATCTAAAAGGAAGACAAATTTGCTGTAAGACATTTTTATAGCCTCGAAATTTCACAACAAATTAATGAAAGTAGCAAAATGATTCCTTTTAACTTGCATCCACCGCAGTTTCAAGCGAGATAATTTCTAATTAACTTGTAATCCCAAAAAGGTTTTAGGCAAAAATTGTAACTGAAACACGTACTTTATTAATACATGATTATAGATTAAGATAGAATTGTATCACAAATAAATATCGAAAAAAGGAGTTATATAATAGAAAGTGTCATATCGCTGTCCTTTCCTGAAGGAGTGAGAAAAGTAAAGTGTAAAAGAAAAAGCGAGTTAACCAATTAAACTCCTTTGCAGGGTTTCCAGTTCATAATGTTTATCGTGCTATTGGCGACAGTCCATCACTGTTTGCATACCAACAAAATTAAGTAAGAAAGATTAGGAATTCATCCAACAGAGGAAACGATTAACATTCAATTTTGGAACACGTCAAGAGACACTATTTTGAAGCATCATATTTAAAGGAAAAAAAAATTGAATTAAAAAAACTATTTATGATAGTACAAACTTATTGACTTGATAAGTTTATATTATCATAAATATTGTTAATAATTGATACTTTTGACACTTTCTGATACTATTTGACACATTTTTCTTTCTCTGTGCTTTATAGCAGATAGTGAGTACCTTAAAATATCTTTAAATAGCGACCCCAGGACCCAGAGCCGGATTTACGTATAAGCTACACAAGCTAAAGCTTACCTCCCCGCAAAAAAATAAAATGTAGTATAAATAGCATTAAAATATTTTATAGTAGACTTATAAAGGGCCTCATATCTCAGATATCTTAGGGCCTTATCAAGTCAAAATCTGGCTCTGCCAGGATCCCCTAATACACTCATGTCCATAAATTAAGGATAATGCAAAATCAGGCAAAAGAAGAATTAGAAGCAAAACAAATTTGACTTATTTGTAAAGCTTATTTATTAAACAAAAGGTAAAGAGCAAAAAAAGATGCTATATGTTTGATATTATTAAAAAATAGCGATTTTGTCTCCTTGGAGCAAATTACAAAAAAAAAACCTATTTACAAAAAACCAATATTACATGGTTGGTATGATTGTTAATACATTGTATGTCTCCCAGACGATGCAATACAGTCCGTACAACGCCTAGGCATGCTGAGTATCAAATTATCGATCTGATCTTGGGGGATATTACACCACTCAAAAAGCAATGCTCTCCGAAGTTCCGGTAGACATGTAGGAGGAGGTTGACGGGCTGCAACTCGTCGGCCCAAGCATGTCCCACACGTGCTCTACTGGATTCAAGTCCGGTGAGAATGCTGGCCAGTCCATACGGGTGATATCCTCCGATTGAAGGCATTCGCTTACGATGTTTGCACGGTGAGGACGGGCGTTGTCATCCATAAACACAAATTGTGCGCCCATGGCGCCCCGAAACAAATGTACATGTTGTTCCAGAATGACGTCCCGATAGATTTGGCTTGTCATATTTCCAATTTGAACATGCAGGTCAGTTCTGGAACCCAGAATAATTCCAACCCAAACGAGCACTCCTGCACCACCGTAACGGTGTCGTTCAATGATGTTTTCTTGGTGGTAACGGGTACCTGGAGCTCTCCATATGAAAGTCCGGCGAGAATCAGACTGCAAGCTAAACCTGGACTCGTCGGAAAACATCACACAAGCCCACTGTTGCGGTGTCTACAATGCATGCTCTCTACTCCAGGCTAACCGCAGGCGACAGTGAGTTGCAGTAAGTGGAACGCATCTGACAGGTCTACGAGCATATAGAACCAATCTGCCTAAGCGTCTGTACACGGTCTGCCTTGAAATTGTCGTACCAGTGGCTGAAGAGAGCTGACGAGACAGGTCTGAGGCTGTGCTCCGCCTGTTTCTTTTGGCAGTAACTGCCAAATACCGGTCCTCATTCGCGTTGTAACTCTGGGGCGACCTGTGCTGTAACGTCTACTCACATTACCATCATCTTGGAATCGTTGCCAAAGCCTGGAGATGAAACTCTGGGCAATTCCAAGTTCGTCTGATATTTCCAGTTGGGTACGCCCACATTCCAGACGGCCGATAATTCTACCACGTAAAAAATCATCCAAATGCGTCCTTTGTGCCATAACTATTCGTTTTATTGCACTGAAATGCTTATAAAGTGCCTGCGAACAATTTTACTTCTTTGCCTTTATTCCTTATACATCGCTCTCTTACACTCTCGTCATTGTGACGTACCATCGGTGTCATCTGGTTACTTCCGGAAATTTGCATATGATTCTTGAAGATGTGTGTAGTGATTTTACAAAGTGATATATTTATTTTAGAGTTCGATTTCCGCGTGACTCCGAATTATCCTTAATTTATGGACATGAGTGTATTTGGGGAAATTTTGTGGGAGCCTATAAGCATTGCGCAAATCCGACACACGCGTGAGTAAAACCGTCAATTTTTTCACTTGCACTGTAATATACTATTGCAGTTTTAGGTCATTATCTTTAATTTATAATTTTAAGACATCGAACAATGTGAAAATTTTAAAGTAACAGACGAAATGACATGTCACGTGCAAAACAAGTAAAATGAACGTTTATAATATATAAAAAAAAATGCGTCGAAACATTTTATTTTTTTCTTTGTCTGTATTTTCTTATCTTTACCTATTTTCAGATACATTATGTAAAAATAATTGGTAATTATTATGATAAGTTAAAGCAATATCAAAACTGCTAAAATTTTTGCTGCAGGCCCCGCGACCCCACGGGGGTCGCTACTCACAACTTAAGAAACACTGTTTTACATCTATGTTTACTTTCCCAAAGGTTTGAAAAACCATAGGTTTGCGCTTCTAGCCATTAGCCTTGTTTAAGGCGACGTTTACGAGTCTGAGCTTTCTTGCCTGTTTTATCTTGTGAGCCCCGTTAAGGCTAACTTTACTGCATTCAATTTTAAGTTTATCGTTACTTTTTGAGTTAAGCTAGATGTGTTGGTTTTTATGTACGCCCAAGTTAGGCCAACTGAAAATTATATTGAGTTAATAAAGCGTTCTTTATACCATTCTTCTGATTGTTGGAAGAATTTGAGGATAGTTCCTCGCACAGTCTTTTAGGTCTCGTTAGTTTATGCTACCGAAGAAAACGAGAACACCCGTGTATTGTAACGTCTGAACACCCGTGTTGGGTGAAAGGAAACAGCAGTTGCCTTTTAAATATTTATTTAAAAAACTTAATAAGAATTTCTTGAATACTAATAAATAAAATAATCAAACCATTACAGCTATAATACAAACAATGGCCGCTGGATGCAGCCACGATGCTGGCTGCGTCTTCTTCCAAGTCTTTTACTGCATAAAAATCTCTCACAGAAAGGGCTTTCTTTCGTTTTGTTAAACGTCTCATCAGAAATAGCTGGAATGGGGAATTAATAAATCCCTTATGTCCGGAAACCGCACCAGGGGATTTCCACAACACCTTTCCCCAGAATTCTAACTGACAATTAGTCTCTGGAAAAAAGAGAAAGTTCTTTTCATTAAGCAAATGTTCGACAGAGATGTGCATATGTCACATATATATTCATATATGTAATATGAAAACAGTAAGCTTAAATAACAGGTGTCGAGGAGGAAGCCAAATTAGTGTAATTTGTACTAATTTAAGAATAATAATTTAAAATTAAAATAAATTTCAAGCGTAATCAAATAATTCAGATAAGGCTATGTTGTACTAATAATAATGAGTACAAAATAGTACATGCAACTACCATGCAAAATTGATATAAGCGAACAATCTTTAAATATAAGTACTTTTGTGGTGAATTTAAATTAAAAATAAATTTAAAACCTAAAGCAACTAAAAAAATATTCGTATGAACTCAGATGAACAAAACAAAGTTCGATCGAAAACTTTGGTGTCCTCAGAAATGTAAAAGAAAATTAGTTTGTTTCTGAGCGAACAAATGCACAATTAAAAAATTTAATTAATTGATAGAAAAAATAATTAGGAATGAAATTGCACATATTTAGCCCAATCTGAACAGACTGCAATCAGTAAAAGACACTTTAATTAAATTTACAAGAGCAACAAATTAGAAAAAACGAAAGTACAATCACAAATAGAATAAAGAATGTGATATGAAGAAAACTTTTCCACTTTGAAAACTTGAAATATGTATGAAAACAAGATCTTATGATAGGAAAAATCGAAAAACTATCTGGCAGTAGAAGACTGTATCAAATAATACAGAGCTTGAATATATGAACTGCATATTAGAAGTCTGTTTGAATATACCAATAAAACAAAATCCATATTTAAATGAATAAAATTACATCATTAATTAATAATTAATAAAATTATACCGTTAATTAATAAAATTATACATTTCGACATTCTAACGGGTAACGAAGTAGTGAAACGTAACGATTCATGTATATAGGTAACTGAACTATAGGCATTCAGTGCCAAAATATCTGTACATAAAATAGTACAGATATGAAATTTGCATTTAGATTAAAAGCATTATGACTCTGTAACTCAATCATCAGTTTACGATCAGTTGCAGTTAAGACATTATTGAAACAGTATATTAATTGCTTATAAACCCTGATAATGTACTGCGTTATTAATGAATGGTTTTTGCAGCTTCATAGTTTTCTTATTTACAATGCAAAAATTGCCAGCAAACATAAATAAATTCATATTTTTAATTTCATCAGGTCTTGATCCAGCAGGTCCACGTTTCAACCGTGTTGATCCAATTGTTAGAATAGACAGAGAGGATGCAACATTTGTTGATATCATTCATACTAATTATGCACCAAATCGCTTCGAAGGTATGTAAGTTTCTCATGTTAATCTGAAAAAAAAAAAAAAAAAAAAAAAAGAAATTTTCAATCTATCAGTTTCAGTTCTCTTTCCTAAATCACTCATTTTCTCAATCTAACATTAAACTGCAAAACAAATATATTGATGGGCCTATAATGTTATACCATATTTTCTACATAATCTTTTCTAAATTTTGTGATGAATTAAGGAGTAGTATTATCTGATGTTTGAATCTCCAATATCTCCTAGTTTAAATTTACTAAACTAAACCTAAATGGATTATTATAATGCCCTCCCCAAAGCTGCATGTAGAAATTTAATACTTCTAACGACGACTTCCGTATTGTCGCTGGCCACGGTTGAGACCTTGATTTCTCACCCTGGGCATAATGCCTCGAAAGATCAAACACTTCGAGTTTAAGTATTAAGATGTTAATGTCTTTCGGGCGACAAATTTTACTGCAGCATTTTTTAAATAAATGATTCTTATTATAAACAAGTCCGTAACAGAAACCGATGTAGAGTAATCGTATATTCAGCAATTTAGAATTATACGAAGAATTTAATCTTAGTGTGCATATAAGCAAATCCCTCTTCATAATCCCATAAAAATAAAATCATTTCTTTTGAGGGATATTTATATCATGGTATGAATTTTACTTTAATTTTTTAGGTCTTGGCATCAAAGAAACCATCGGGCATTTTGATTTCTATCCGAGTGGGGGAGAAGATCAGCCAGGATGTATAAAAGCTCGTGAGGCCAGAAAAAAAATCATTGGTGAACTCACCGATCCCAGTCAACTCTTTGACGTTATATGGAACATTAAGAGTGGGAAAAGCGAAAATAGTAAATATATCAACAATTCTTATAGACTCAAACATATGAAACCTATTCATCTCTGTTTACGTAAAAATTTTATGACTATTTTACACAGTTAATCTGTACAAATATCTTCAAATTTACATAATATTGCAGGATATTTTTGTCTCATTAATAGACGAAATTATTTTTGTCACATTTTTCGATTATCTTCTTAACTTTTTTTTAAGACAGCAATTTGTTTTTTAGCTTTTATTTCAAGCATATCAGCTGCATACATTTATAAATATACGATACTATATAGTATCTAATAATAATATATATGATTTTCTAAAAATATATAAAATATATATTATTTTCTAAAAAAATATATAAATATATATTATTTTCTAAAGATATACTATACTGGGCGATGTCTGAGAACAGAACCCGTCGGAAAATCGATGATTTGAAATTTCGAAATTTTCAGGTTTTTAGATTTCCAGTTTAAAACTAGTAAGATTACGTGCAGAAACACACAGTTTCAGAGCGACTTTGAGGCTGCTTAATTAATGTTTGAAATGCAAAGTGCTTTTTTAAATGTTCGATCTGATAGCGTTATTTAACTATAATTCTGCATCGTGATTTCCGTGATAAAAGATCTTTTCGCAAAATTTCCAGGGGTATTGATTTCCATTCTTCTTCCACTACTTTCCAGATTCTATCAATCATGATGTCCTTACCCTTAAAAATAGCTCTATCTAAGAGACAAAACCTTAACAGTCCAAAGATTCTTAGGTATTGTCCATAGGTTGATAGTTGTTGAATATTATATTTCGCCGCCCAACTGTTATAGTAGTAGCGTCGTTGACCGCCGCGCCGAAGAGCCCGGTCTCCAATCCCGAAGAAGGCATGAAGTTTGTAAATGTATCGTGTCGGTGCGGCATGGCGGCACTCTAAATATGCTACGAGCCGAAAGTCCTCTCGTGTGGTTTGGTAGAAAGAGAGAGTGGTGGGAGACCTTTGGAGCCGTCCCGCCCCCGAGGTGCCCTTCATCAAAATTGAGGCAGAACTGAGTTAAATCTCACTATCACCTAAATGATGCTCAAGGCTGTTGCCAACGGGAGGCGTTATCTAGCGCTCTTTTCTACAAGAAATTTCGTGGTCTTGGGTTGACTACGTCAGGCAAGTGAGCATAAGCAACAACATATTATATTTCAGGACTTCGCAAGAATAAATTGAAAAGCTGTATACGCAATACCCGTATAAGTTTTAAATTTTTCAGTTCTACCTTTCGAAGAATGACTTATAGCTTTCTCAAAATGAAGTTTTGCTCCTTGAAACTCAATGTGATACAGAAATGGAATTTTTCCTTTAAATATCGGATGCCGAGTTTTCCATCCAGATCTTTGATTTTTTGAGTATTATCTGGACTGACAGATTTTGTTTCACAAAAATATCTCATCATCTTGGTGTTTTGATAATTTTTAATTTTATTCGAAATTTATTTTTGTTTTATTGTAAATACAGTAAAATGTAATGCATTTAATTACAGTTTATAATTTTCTTAGTTATGTACTCCCACAATATTGATCCTATTTTGTAATACTTTAGTTGTTTGTACAAAATGCTACAAATGTGAAAGAATTGCAAAGTTTTAACAGAGTTTTACAGTGAAGTTTTCTTTCGTGTTATATGCGCAGGCTACTGAGATGGCGGTCTTTATTGTACAGTCTTTCGTATCGTTTATGGATTTATTGCATTATTTGGGGTGATAATGATGCAGTGCTTATAAATTATAATGACTATTTCTATCTTATATTAATGAATAAGTACCTTATTTTTTATGCAAATCGAAAGGGGATTTTCTCTAAACGACGAGCATACTGTCGCCAGTCTTAGTCTCCGTGATTCAGTTCTGCATAATCTTGCCAAATCGCCATCCTCAGTTTTAGATTTAACAATGTAATCCCCTCATTTTCTTTCTGAAGCAAGTTCGATCTAGATGGTGAATTGAGATCATTTCATTTAAATTGAGATTTAGATCTTTCATACAAAAATCATCCCTGAGTTTTGGTATCAGTTGCATAATGCGAAAGATGGCCATTAAAAACTCTGAATAAGATATTTTAGCAAACTAAAATTCTAATTATTCTGCCTCACTATTTGGATAGCGTGGAAAGAATCTTCTCCTAATCAAACCATATAAAAACAAAAGTCATAAACTTATTTAAACAAAAAACTGTGGAAGACTAACTAATGGTAAAAAATAGGCAATAAATAGATTTAATCAAAATTGCTGTATATGGAAACCTAAATTTAAACTGGGAAAAGAAATCATACGGGGAATGTGTTATAGAATTATGAAGAACGTTTGAAACAAGGAATTATTTTTCAAAACATAAATGTGGGAAGAACTGAAGGAGATGAAAATTTTGAATTGAATTAAATGAAAGATTTTTATGCTTGCTAAGCTTTAGTTTTGTGTGCTGCTATATAAAGAAAACTAGTTTTTTTGCGGCTTATTTAAGTTGTAATTTTGTTTTACTTTTTTAATTTGTGAAAGGGAGCTCTGATCGGATGTAAAGCGGTCTCTAGATAGTATATAGAAATAATTTAAATTTTCCCCCCAGCCTCTCATTCTTAATTTCATTGTACGAGAATTCTGCGACAATCATAAGCTTCTTACTGAAAATTGTAATTGCATTGTGTTAACCAGACTTATACATTTTGTGTCTCATTTTCTAGAATAAATAGACTTTCTTGTTTTGCAGTCATTTAGATAAACCCATGCTTCTTCAAGGGTCACAATGTATTTCCATTTATCTCATGCGAAATAAATTTTATGCAGAGTTCTACCAAATTGTTCTGCGTTGTGCAAATATGCTTCGGCGAAAGGTCGTGAGAATCATGTGTTTTAGATTTTCTAAATTGTGAATCTTCGTTTCTTAATTTATTATTTTTTGTTATAGATGTGTTTAAACACTTTGCACTTTGATTTCTGTGTTGACGAATTCTCTCTTCTTATCAAAGATTTAACTTAGAATGTATTAGAAACAGTACACAACTTTTCGAGTATTCGTTTGGAGTCTTCTTTCTATGTAGAATTAGAACCTGAATAATGTTTCTCGTTCCGATTAAAAATGTTGCTTATTTTGAACTTAGAATTTCCAATAATGTGCATTTTACGACGTTTTTTTGAATTATGGAATAGGAATAATTCTCTTCGGAAAGCATATATCATTCAATTCAATTTATTCATTCCTGTTTACATATGACGTTTTGAAAATATTTCTCATTTTAAATAATAAGCTGTTAGGAGAAAGTTTTATTCCGAAACAGTTGCTTTCTTTTTAAATTTCCTTATAGAAACAGTTCTAAGAATGTGTAAACATATTCTGTAATTTTTGTATTTTCAAAATAACAGGTCTGAGAAGATGTAAAGATGTATTAAATGGGGTTTAGCTATAATTTTTTATGTATATAGTAAGTACTACCTAAATATAATAAATGATTAATATTCAAATTATTTATGAATAATATACCATATATACAAAATAATTAATTTTAACTTAGTTAAGTGATTACTCTATAAATAACAATATATTAAACCATCGGCAGGCAAGCTATTCAAAAATCGGACTGTGCGAGTAAAACCCACCAAGGTGGCAATATTATTTTTGCTATTGAAATTAATTTTAATTATAATTCAATAAATAAATAAACCTTTTTAATTTTAAGCTAGAATGGAAAATGGAGTGGTATGAAATTTACTGTGATCTAAATGCTATTATTTCTCCCAAATTTGATAATGGTTATGTGATTATGATGATAAATACTTCCGCTGATAGAATTGCAGGAATTGTACTAGGAGACTCATACTACTGTACCTTCGAGGGTTCTTCAGCTTCTATCTTAGAAAATTAAAAGCAGTGTTAAATAAAGCAAAATGTTTTCAGTTCATCAAAAATAGCTTTGCTTTTACCTTCGCCTACCTGTGCTAGCTTTTATTCTCTTCCCGAATTTCACAAAATTGTCATTTTATTTCGCGCTACTGTTTTCAGTTAACGAACTTTTAATTCATGGATTTTAATTCAATATTCATTTTTTGCTCCTTAAGCAAATCAATTCTTGTTATCCAATTTTAATATCAAATTTAACACAGTAGAAGCAGGTGGTACCCGGTGGAAAAGCAAACTGGAAAATGTCAGCTGTGAGAAATTTACGACGCATTTTATGAAATAATGAATGACAACAATTTTAATAATGCAGTACAACACGAAGCAGAAAATTTCTAAGATAAAACTAGACATTTTAAAATTTATTTCTTTTGTGAAAATTTGACGCAATGTTCTTAACACAGTAAATCCTATCAGCAAACAACTTCAAGGTAAAACTGTGAGTATTATACTTGCTTTGGAATCCACTAAAGGAAAATAAATAGTTTTATTGCAGTAAAAATCAGATTCTAATCTCAGCATACACTTAAAATTCCAAATAAGTTTAGTGAAGATGTATATCAGGAAAGTGAATTTTATTCTGCAGATTAAAACAGAGTAAAGCAAAGCACACATCCGTTTCAGTATCAACAGCGCGATGAATCACTGAAAAAACATGAAGACAAATTTAGAATTATATATCTTATGAATTCTTAGATATTGCATGGACATGCTTAAATAAGCTACTAAAACTGCACAATGGTAGTTTTAGTTTCATAAACAGTTTAGCAGAAGCTGATAAAGAAGATCTAGGAAAAAACTATTACAGTTTTATCCTGGGCGGGGGGGGGTTAATCTAATGATATGTGCTTTTAAAGATGTTTAAATTTCAAACTCAAAATCCTTTCCAAATTCTGCACTTAATTGCGTTTATCTATTTATCTTTGCTAACTTACGTCTTTTGTTAAAAATACGATTGGCTTTGCCTGTTGGTATCCCTTACTAGTATGTCTCAAGAAAGATTTGTGAAACTTATATTAATAGCAGTTGAAAATTATGTTTATACTAAATTAGACATAAAAAAATTTACCTTCATTCATATAAAATATAGAAAAGTGAAAATTCAGATGCAAAAACGTTTATTGTTTGATTAATTAACTTTTTATACACTAATGTTTAATTTTTAAATTATATTTTTGACTAAAATACAGTTTAATTGTTTGAAATATGGTTTTGTTGTGTTGTTTGTTCTAATAAATTATCTTCTACCGTCAATAAAAAAAAAAAAAGGTAACATTGAAGGGCTTTTCCATTAATTCGCAGGTAGGCGCCAAAATATATATATATATATATGTGCAAGGTATAAAATATGAAAACAAATTTTTTAACAACATCCGCTTTCCGTTCAAGTGTATCACTTGAACACTAATCCTCATTATGTCTCCTGCAATATGGTTAGTTGTTGTACAATCACCATTTAAAATTTAAACAAAGGATTCAACTCACGTCATTCACATCGACGTTTTCCTGTCTTCCTGTCTCTGTGCTTCTCCATTATCATCCATTTTCTTTTTGAAAGGTGACAAGGTGTTTATTGAAGTGTGGGTGCTTATCGCGCCCATAGTGATGTGTAAAAGAGAGTATGCGTCCTAAAATCCAAAAGAAATAAAATTATGTGATAAATAAATCAACAGCTACATTTACTCTCCATCTCTCTATTACGCATCCCATCTGTATGCCAGCAACATTTATATTCATCTCAGCCATGACTAAAAAGTAACTCGTGTTTTTTCTCTCACGAATCCTAAAATATTGTTATCAAATGATCATCTACACTGAATTATTAAACAATTACGCACATATACATATAATATTATGCGTAAGAAAGACTATATATATATATATATATATATGTGTGTGTGTGTATGTATATAAACATAAAGCCTCTAAAATTCTTCTGTATAATTATAAAGCTTGTAAAGTTAAAGGTAAATTGGAGTCAAAGCAAGGCAATTCCTCAACAATATTAATAAGTGCATCCTTTATGAGGAATTGCCTTGCTTTGACTCCAATTCAATTTAACTTAAGAAGCTTTGAGTTTATTTTCTATAATCCGGAAGCTATAGCGCAGGACGGGTATAATTTTTTTTTTTTATTTTTATTTCTTATTAGTTTTTTTTATGTACTTATATTATTATATATATAAATAATTTTATAATATATATATAAATAATTATTTATATATATGCATATACACATATTTGTGTATATGTATCATGAAAGAGTATATTTTGTGTATACATATTTTATATATATATGTATACACAACATACACACTTTCTCACGCACACACACATATATTTATATGGAAAGAAAGAAAAGAAAGAGATAACTCTCATTTATTTAATCCGACTCGTTAGCTAATTTCAAATCCTTCATTCAACCAGAACGCGATTTGAGTTTCAGACCACTGAACTACACTGTATTTTCTTCTACTTAATCCATTTTTTTTCATCTTTTCAGTTTCCGAAGGTTTTAATGAATTTGGATGCAGCCATGTAAGAGCTTATAAACTATTCACTGCCAGCTTAGAAGAGCCAAAATGCAAATTTCAAGCTTTGCTGTGTGACAGTTGGAAAGATTTCCAAACTGGAGCGTGCGGTGCTTGTAAAGGAAGCAAGTGCGTGAATATGGGTTATTATGCTGCGAATAAGAAGATTTTGGCAAAGAAAGGCAAATCTCTGGTTTTCTACCTGGATACAAAGGGGAAAGATCCTTATTGTATGGAAAAGCCGTGAATTAACTTTGGAAAAGTTACAAAAGTTCTTTCTGTATAGAAAAAGCAGTCAGCTAAATTTATAAAAATCTTATAAATTTGGTGCAGAATAAAGTGTTTTTATTTATGTTATTGCGCATGTTTTTCTTATATACTGCAAATTTCTCTTATGCAATTTCACATTGTCACTCATTATCTGAATTAGATGATCATTAATTATCGTATCCCAATTGGACATAGCTATTCTATAATAGATACAGATTTAATATAATGAAAGGAAAATTTTTTCTCTCGTTAAAATGAAGGCATTGTGACAACCTTTAAATAAACACATCTAGGAACTGGATAATGAAATTTTAAGATTTGCATAAGGACTGTAATTCTTTATTAATACGTATAGGCTTTCCTTTAGACGCAAATTCTGCTGTTTCTTCATGCAAACGATTGACACAAGTCTTTTACAGTCTTTAAAATTATTCTTATCCTTTCTATTGCTATTTTACTTCATAGTAGTTGATGGAAGGGAGAACTTTGCAACTCTGCCCTGTATTATACCTCCGCAGGTACAATGATGTTGATTAGGATATCGTGGAGGACGCGAGTGATATTCAAACTTTGTGATTTTTAAGCCACTTTGTCTCCAGTTTTGCTCTATAAATTGCTATAATATCATCTTTTTACACAGCTTTTCATTTGAAATAAAATGTTTTAACAAACAAGCCTACTTGTTCCTTTAAAATACTCTAATAATCCTGACAGTTATATGTCCATCAAGAAATATCACTGTTTTCAGACACTTCCATGGCACTTATCAAACTTGCAAACTAATTTACTTCTTTGTTTTTCCGGGCATGAATCAATAGGGATCATGCGCCTGAGAAAACGATCTTAAAACTCTTTTAGAACTGGTAAAGACAATAAAGATTTAAAGGCAACAAAATGTCAAAAATACGAAACAAGAAAGGTTTTGCAATCTGTTCTGTCCGAGTTATTTGTTACATCGAAAATTGCGCCTATTAAAATTTCTTTACTTTTCTAGATAAACTGACAGAGCACTGGTTATTGCGCCCTTCGGTACATTAAAAAAAATTCTGATGCGGACACCACATGACTTTCTTATACAGCCTATTAAATTATGCACATTTTTAGATGCATTTCATTTAAATTTATTACCTCGAATTCCTTTAGAGATATATTTCTCATTCAATTAATTCAGTTCTTAATTCGCGGCAAGGCAAAAATACAAAAAACCTCCAAATATCTTCTTTAAAAATATAAAACACCAAATACAGTTAAAACAATTTTTACAATTAACAATTACAGTTTCTACAGATAAACACGCAATTCACTAAGCGGATAAGAAGGCAGATTTTTCAATGCACAAAACTAAAACAAATTTTTTTCTGGTCTCACAAGGCAAAAAGGCACGGAAGGGGCAGAAACTGAATTCAGTATTCTGCTATGTTCAAATGTAAACAAATATGCCTGCTCAGGCTTAGCCTCACTAAAACAACGTTTAAATTATTCATAATTCTACAATTATTGCATGCATATTAACTAAAAGCATAAAAACCTTAACCAAAACATAAGAACAGCATAATTCAGTCACTGTTAAAGCGAACACGGCAGAATTTATCAATATATAAGAATAAAAACTGAGCTTATAAAGCCAAGTAACAGAGCGTATGCGTATACATACTTTTGGTGTGGCCGATCGCAAGCAAGAAAGGAGGTGCACAACTACATATTTTAGCAGTCCTATATACAAAACTTCAAGGTTCTGAGGCTACTCGTGTTTGCGTTATGCCAGATATATACAAATATAATTGCCTGTACGTACGTGTACGTACAGACGTCGTTCAAAAGTCTCTTCTGAATGCATTTTTGATCCATTTCGGAACCCGTTTTGGAAAAAAGAGCCCTTTATTCTATCCGTACCTACAGATGTCACGCAAAAACATCGTTCAAATGGTTTTGAGAGCGATTGAAATGTATATTTTCTTTGAAATATGATACCGGAAAACTTTCGCGATTGCAATACTTCCTTCCTACTGTGCAAGGAAGTAATAACATGTCTACTTCAGTCTATTTTAATGAATATTGCAATATTAGGATTTTGACACCACAGATATGGGGAAATCATTGGGGAACATTTTAATTTTAAGAATTACCTAATGCTTATGACAAGAATCGTTGGAGCTAATAGACCCTAGAATAGTTTTCTCCAAAAGCTCTCTGAGAGAAACTTATGCGTATAAGTTTACGAGGGCAAGTTATTAAAGCTCTCTAGTTGGAAATTTCGCTCTATCTCTTTTCATTTTCGATTTGCATTGCCTATCTTCCTAATTTCGTCACTAGAGGCGCTGCTGTCGTTTGCATTAGGTTGGGCGTAGTCGTTTCACTATACCGTTACCTCACTTGCATAGCTGTAGCTCTCTCCGTTCGCAAGAATTTCACGTTATAGGGACTTCTCTATGCACCGTGTATATTTAAGTGTGTGTGTAAGATATGAAACATAAAATAAAAATTTAATTTGGCTACATGTGCTTTTTGGAATCTAAACTGCATCACTCGAACACTAACACGCATTATGTCTCCAGCAATGCGGTTAGCTCTTGTACAATCACCATTCAAAATTTAAACAAAATATTCAACTCTGCGAATAAAGTTGCTAAATTTGCTAAATAGAGATGTGATAAAGAAAATATATGTCCTAAAAAACTGTCCGTCAAAAGTAAAATTATGTTATGGATTTATAGCTGCTTAAATACTATAGGCCTGAACTCCAGTGGGTACCTGCCCACAATGGAATACTGGGTAATGAAATTGCAGATGCAATAGCCAAAAGAGCAGCAACTGACCCCCACGTTCGCACACTTGACGTGCCTCTCCCGGGTTCGTTCTTAAAAGCTGAGCTCGAGAGAGAATTACTCAAACGTTGGCAACATCTGTGGGAGACAGAAACCACCGGCAGAAGAGTTTACAGACTTTTTCCGAAAAAGTCTGCCGGCTTCTAAAAGGTGGCTCGTCTCACTTTCACTCAGTTATCTAACAGGACATGGTCCCTTCATGACTTACCTGCATCGCTTCAGACGACGCGAAAAACGAGCATTGCTCATGCGGGATGGTAGGAGATCCGGACCACTATCTGTTCGCTTGCAGAGAGACCGCTAAATATCATCATTTAGGCAACCAGTAGCAAACCACATCCATGCATGGGCCCGAAGCTACTTCAAAAAATCGCAATGCATTGAAACGCATATGCGATTGCATAAACATTGCACGCATAATCTCAGACAGGCTGGAGTAATTCTCAGCCACCATCCTCGTCACCAGCACAGCCCTGTATGCTCTGTACCTGTAGCGAACTAATTTTATCTTAAGTTAGCTTATTCGGCTTTTCTTATTCCCTGTATATATTATATTCTTGAACTGTAAACCTTGAATTATGAACCTTGAACTATGTATTTTGCCTTTATTTTATGTATTGTTTCCACTGTTTTGCCTTTTTTTTATTTTATGCATTGTTTTACTTTCTAGTTTTTTACTTCTTATTACTTTTAGTATTTGTAACCACCTATCCATTACTCTGTAAATATGTAACTGGAATTGTTCTTCACGCCCGCAATGCACCCTTCTTCCATCATACACTATCGTCTTCGTCCAGCATTTGTTTGCACTGCCCCCAGCAGTCGTCTTGAGCACAATATGTATTTATAAGTGTGTCTTTTGTTCAAGTTATTTCCGTCAGCGGGGTTACCTGGCCGATATGCTAACCACCCAGTGGACCGGCTGCCTCGCTGTCGGTGGAAAGAAAGAAAGAAAGAAAGCTGCTTCTGGTTTCTGAAGTCCACCTGTCTGTTATGCATCCCATGTATATGCCGTCAGTGCTTATAGCCATTTCAGCCAATCCTGAAAAATAACTGATGTCTTCTCTCTCACGCATCCAAAAATATTTCTATAAAGTCATCGTCTACACTGAATTATTTCATATACATATACATACATATATATATACATATATATATATGTAGAATTTGACTTAATTCACAGCATGAGAGCACGAAGTAATATTTAAATGGTTTCTTTAATAGAAAGAAATAAAAGTAAATAAAGATGAAGTTAACGGTATGCAGGATTAACATAATGATGTAGTCCTTTTACACCTAAAGGCATAACATCAAAAGCACAATCTAAATTCATAAACTCTTGAAGACGTGTGAGCCGTCTGCTCACGTCTGCCCTCCGCTCTCGACCAGGTCTCAGCGCTGTCTGGGATGATTCTTACTGCGCTGGGTGATGCTATACTGATGACGTCATAATCCTGGTATTCTAATTCAGCATTGGACGTTGATGACTCCCACAGCTTCGGCCAGCCTGAAGAGGCATCGTCCTCGATGTCTGTTGAATGGACATCACCATCATGTACCTGCAAAGAGAATAAAAAAAAAAAAAAAAAAAAAAAGAAAAAAGAAAAAAAAAACAGTATCAGGTCCTTAGGTTTTGAGCTGATACAAGCATTAAATCAATTTGACTATGGCTTCATATGGTCAGCCGCAGTAGATGTCAAATTTGGTCCTTCATGGCATCCTACTTTCTCGACTTCATATCTGTCATTTGATCGAACAGCTATGATTTTATACGGTCCATGAAACTTAGGTCGTAGTTTCAAACCAGTCCCATATTGAGTTCTCTGAATGGCTACCAAGTCGCCAATCTTGTATAGTTTCGGTTTCTTACGTTTCTTGTTGAATTGTTTACGATTCTCTTCTTGAATCCTCAAAATGTTGTTTTTAGCATCTTCTCTCATTTCATCCACGTTCTTGCATCAATTGTTTTAGATATTCTTCATTCAATATCTCACTAATTCTCAAATCTTCTTTATTCTTCATTTTCGTGCCTACGAGAAGCTCAAACGGTGAATATTTCGTACTTCTCGTAGTTGTACTGTTGATTATTCTCTGAACATCTGGAACATACTTAAACCATCTCGTTGAATCTTCATGTGATAATTTTGACAAAACAGGAATAAAAATTCTATGTATTCGCTCAATTTGTCCGTTACCTCTTGGAATACCAATAGTAATTTTGACATGTTCTATACCTTCTTCAGTACAATAAGCTGAAAATTC